CCGACCAACTGAAACTCCCAAAAAGATATCTCAAGATAAAAATCTAAACTGTTCACCAGGGTTTTAAACGTGTCACGACACGGTGGAATCGAGCTCTAGTCAATTGTTGGGCATTATAGTTCTTGTTATCCTTTTTAAGTTTGTTTATCTATCTTCTTTTGATGTAAAAATATTCTTTTATCTTGAATAGAAGTCGAGATATTTAATATTAAAGGAGGTGGGGGTCGCCTGGTGTTAGAGGCAAAGTTAGCGAGAAAATGGTCGCCAAAGTTCAGCGACTTACAATGCTGTAGTGTCTTTGGAAACTGCAAATTTTCATTTTTGTGCCTTTGATCAAGGTGTTTCAATAAAAATCACATAGAAATGCCTTTTTTAATCGACATAAGGGTATTGAATTGTTAAAATATCGTTACAGATACGAAAAACTGCCTGTTTCTTTGATTTCATTATTTTGACGAGCACCAAAATTCACCAAGATGCCTTACAAATCACTGTCATCGGCATCGCAGTCCGGTTAGAAAAAATCACAAACAGACAGTTTTTGCAGACAGTAGAGTAGGTGGTTTGCGGGTGCTCTGGTGTTCTTTGCTACTTCTTTCCTGTAAAAAAAATATATCGCCCTTATCGCTCCTACTCCTTTTTTGTGTTTGTTACTCACTTGTAACACCTCTAATCTTCTGCACGTATATGACCTTATTGTGTTGCAAGTGCCGTAAAACTCTAACAAAAAGAAGCAGACAGTAGAGAATTTTGTCAGCATTGTGATGCCTTATACCTTTTTGAGACAGCCTTGCGAACAAAGTTGTCAGCCAAGATTTAAAAAATAATGTTTTTTTGGGGGGTTAGTGTTTTATAGCGCTCGCAACGGCACACAGTCATAGGAGCGCAAGGGACACATTAAACATTTTCAGTTGAATTTTGCTCGGGTGGCGGCCGAAGCCTACTCTTATCGATTTTAGACCACCAAAGGATCTTTTACGTGCGCTACCTGCGAACAGGACCTTCGAGATTTTTCACTCATATCCGAGAAGGCTAGGTGTAGATCTCACATACCAAAAGATCAAGGGTGTGGCTGAAAGACAGCAGTAAGAAGGAGCCAAGGAGCAGCAGTAGAAAAGCCGCAGAAAGAGTCAGGAGCACAGAGGAGGGGAGTAAAGGGGGTGACGGGGTGGGGG